GGTGTATTTGGAGAGGTTGGTGCTGACACTGTTGATTCAAGTTCAGTTTCAGCTATCCGACTAAAGCTTATCTTGTATGGTTCTCTTTCCAATGGTGTAGGATGACCTCGTAAAGTGCCTGAGGTAGAGCAGTGTCGGCCTGTATTAGGCCTTATTCCAGGAGATTTTAAGGAGTAAGTTGATTTCCTAGGCTAGGAAAAGCAAACATAATTAACATCCTAACTTGAGTGTGTGTGCCTTACGACTTAGGGTTACCTTATTCATTCTCAAGCACACATTTTAAGACTGCAATAAAATCCCAACCTGTAGAAGCAGATTATGGCACTCTAGTAGTAACTTCTAGACATAACTGGATTAATTTTATTTTTTGTTTTATGCATTTAGAACAGGGTCTACAGAGTTTACAGGGTCTCACTATGTAGATCAGACTCTTAGTGATTCTCCTGTTTTCAGCCTCCCAAGTGCTGGGATTATAGGCACAGGCCACCATGCCAGAGTCTCAATCTTCATCTCAGCGCACCCTGGGGATGGGGCTGGCACGGCACACCAGGGATTGAACCAGGCACTGTGCTCTGCCTAAACAGGCGCTTTAGTCTGCTGAGCTATCAGGCCAGCCCTTAACTGGATAAATTTCAAAATGTACCTGAATAATGCAAATCATTTTCCCTAACTCTAGAAATAAAATACTGGAAAATTTATGTGAAAACGACTTTTTGGCCCTAAAATAACTGAAATCTAATCTATTTCAAATCATGGGTGTCAATTTTACAAACATTTACTGGGAACATAATTTATTAGGCAATATGTTATGCTATGTGTTTTTCTTTCTTTTTTGAATCTTCTTTTCCCCTTTTGTGATGATAAACTTCTACAACAATATTTAAAATCTTTGGTGAAAACTGGCATCACTGTTCCCTATTCTGGCAGTGGTAACCTAGTGAAAAAACACAGAATTCAGAATCAGGGGAGTTAAAAATCAACTTAATCCTTCTGAGCCTGTTTTTTCCATTCGTTTTAGAATGGAAAAAGGGATAAGATCTGTATCAACAATTGCTGTGAAAATGAGCTGACATGAAAACTTCCTAGCTTGCTTCATTGCCCTGCCCAAAGCTGGTATGTGTATAAATGTTTTTACTTCCTTCCATATCTTGCTCCATATCGAACTACTTACAGTCAGTCTTTCCTTCTTTCTGTTGCTACTGCAAGCCTGCAGAGTAAGTGGGCCCTACAGCAGTGCACTCCAGTGAGAAAGATGGGTTCTAGTGTCAGTGCTGGACCACCTGAGCCCTAAGCCAGAACAGCTGAGCTGCATGTGCCTACACCTCCCCAGCTCTTTCAACTTCCTTTGCTCCACCCACCTACCTGCTAGGCTCCCACTTTCTTATGCCTTTCCCTCCTGTATTAGGAGGGGGAAATAAACAAATGGTACTAAGATAAAAGAAAAATCAGTTTTTAACAAAAGGTGGGTTATGTTTGCCCACAGTATATGTACTTTTAGAAATAGTACATTGCTACAAAATAAAACACATAAAAACAGCTACTTGATTACAATACAATGTTAAAGGGGAAAGCTGAAAATAATACTACTTTTAGGGCCAGCCAAATAGCTCAGCGGATTAAAGTGCCTGCAAGCAGGAACAGGAGCCGGAGGTTCGATCCCAGGGCCTGCTGTGCCGGCCCCGCTCCCGCGCTAAGACTGAGAGTGGTGGTACATGCCTGTAATCCCAGCTCTTGGAAGGCTGTAAACAGGTGGATCACTATGTAGTGAGACCCCGAACACCCTGTAGACCCTTTTCTAAAATACAGAGAAAAAAAAAAAAAAAAAAGAAAGAAAATAATACTTTTATTTTTTTTTTAATTTTTATTTATTTATGTGTGTGTGTGTGTGTGTGTGTGTGTGTGTGTGTGTGTGTGGCCAGCTCAGCCCACTAGGGGGCGGGGCTGGCTGGCATGTGGTGCTGGGGGATTGAACCACGGTCCCTGTGCTGTTTGCTAAGCTTGGTCCAAGTAGGTGCTTTAGACCACTGAGCCATCTCACCAGCCCCAATAATACTTTTAAAAACATAAAAAGGTTTCCAAAACTATAATGGACTTACGAATCGAGGTGGCTGTTTGCAGTTCCGGGGTTCAATTTCTAGCGATTTGTTGAACAAATAATCTGTAAACTCTTTTTCAGATGAACTTCCCATGGGGTTAAGATTTTCAAAGAACCTCTGAAATTAAATAGCAGTAAGTATGTACTTTAGATCTTATTAAAATAAGATTGTATATAAAGTTTTAATGAAAATAATCTAATTTTTATACAAAAATTTAACAAATCAAGATATTGTAATATCTGGAGAGCTCAAAAGGACTGCATATTCTAATCTCTCTACCTGCAAGAATGTATATAATTTTTATGGAAGTTATGTTGTATATTACAGTCCTAAAAAGAGCAAATTTTTATGACTATCTTAATGGCTCACTTTTTCCTTAGCACATTTTATTCTCATTCATTTTAACAAAATGAGTCTCATTAGTAAACTATCAAAAATGCTCAGGACCAAAATTATAGTTAAGGGGGCCAGGGAGATGGCTCAGTAGAATAAGTGCTTGCCTGGCAAGCGCAAGGGCCTGAGTTCAATCCCTGGTTCCACCAGAAACAAAAACAAACAAACAAAAATTATAGTTAAAAACCACACCAAAAAAATCTTGATAATCAGAAAAAAAGTAGAGATAAATTAGATTAAGTTCAAAGGTAATTTAAAAAATAATTAAAAATTTATCAGTGTTAATCCCTACTAAAAAAATATATTTTTTTCGGGTCAGCGAGATAGCTCAGGGGACAAAGAGCCTGCTTTGGCAAGTGCAGGGACCAGGGTTTGATCCCTAGTCCTACATGCCGCACCTGCCCTGACCATGACGTGACCAAGTCCTGACATGGAGGTGCACGCCTGCAATCCCAGTACTGAGGAGGCCGAAAAACAAGAGGATCACTAGGAGTCCAAGCTGCATAGTGAAACCCTGTAACAAATACATAAATGAAAAAAATATAATTTTTATCAAAATTACCAGAAAACATTCCCAAAGCTTGGGAGATTTTACTGTTAGAATATCATCCAATATTCTTACTATCTATGTGGATATATGTACATAAATAAGTAAATAGACTTTTCTTCTACAAAATTGCAATGACACCATATTTATTTTAAATCTTTTTAGTTTATAGCCAGTTAGCTTGCTTCTATGTGGCTTATGAAGTATACATTTTAACTATATAATCAGACATCATATGTTTCAGAATTTACTTCATCAATCTCCATACAGGTAATGATCCACATAGAAGTCTTTTAATTATTTGCTATAACAAACTTCTTGTGCATAAATTTTTCTGTATATTTCTTATAATTTTTTAGAAAAATCATTTGAAGCAAATTATTAGGATTTAACTTTATTTTTTAGGTGGTTGAGAAGTAAATACAAAAATAGATGATGATAAGAAAAATGAGCTTTCAAATTTATAGTATAAAATCTTGTTTTTCACGCATTCTGCCAATTTCAAGAAAATCGTATTACTTCAGTAATAGAAACAGTTTATTCTCATAGTCAAGTTACCTAAATTAAATTATAGAGCCAGTAATTACCCAGTAATTTATAGTCTTAGGAAGAGGTAACATTTGTATTCTTGCTTTTTCTCACCCTTTGCCCTACTTCAAGACACTATTCATTTGATTAACTATGGTTTACAAGTTGACTATCTGCTTAGTCTAAATTTTAAAGTTACTTTAATGTAATAATAAAGCAGTTCCTACCCACACCACAATGTTTTAAATGATGGCATAAAGTCTAGAATAGATCACAAAAATCTGTTAGGAGCTATGTTTTTGAGATATGAGTGCTAAAAATACTAACCCAACTATATTCAACTATAACATGACATTACTTCCCTGAGGATATATATTGTGACTCTAATCTGGGTTTAAGAACCGAGGAAGCTCTGCATCACAGAGGGTGAGCTGAATGAGACAGGCGAACAGCAGGAGTAGCTCATCACCATTACCCTAAAAACATCAGTCTGCATTTTCATAAGAGATGAGCTGTAAGTCCTTGGAGCTGTAACTCTAGCATACTTTGTTTTAAATGGGTAAAAAGAACAGCTACTATTTCATAAGTGAGGTATGTAGGAATGACTGTGGCTGTTTTAACATATCCCCAATCTACAGACTATATCTAAAAGTTTAACACAATTTTTGTGCTTTTTTTTTTCTGGCGGAACTGGGGATTGAACTCAGGCCCTTGCGCTTGCCAGGGAAGTGCTTATTCCACTGAGCCATCTCCCTGGCCCCTAACACAATTTTTAATGTGACAAGTAAATTCATTCTGATTGACAGTTATTATATGTTCTCAATTTCCAATACATGATATAGTATCAATCATCTGATATACACATGACTAGTACCCCACATTTTGTAATATCACAGAATCACTCCTATGCACTGATGCACCAAACATAATCTTTGGAAATATGTTTATAAAGTCATCTCCTATGCATACATATCACTTTTCTAATCATTCCTATTCACATATATTGATCGTCTGCAAAGATGAGCTATTTAATGTTATACTAATTCATGTAAAATACCTAAAATGGCTATCAATGATGGTCTAATAGTACTGTATGAGTAGCAATTTTATTTTTACAGCATGGACATAAGAAAGCTCTTCCATTCTAGTTTATCACTCACTTTTTGGAAATGTTGCTTGAACCAGCACACAAAGAAACAATACTTTTGAGATGGTATAGCAGCCACAGATAGTACAGATATTAATACTTACAGTGCTACCTACTGATTATTCACTCTTATTACAGTATATCCCCAACTTACAAACATCTGAGTTGCAAACATTGACAGGGGTACTGTATAAGACTCACTTTCATAAGTTGGTTTATAAACAAATCTAACTTATTAACAATTTTTCTAGAATGGAAATTGTTTAAACAAGTTGAGAGGGCTGGCCAGACAGCTAAGCAGATTAAGTGCCTGCTTAGGCAGATACAGGAACCCAGGTTCGACCCCCGGCCTGCCATGTTGGCCCCAGCCCTGGGGCACACTGAGACATTGATTGAGACTGGGCTTGGTGGCACACGCCTGTAATCCCAGCACT